CAGGACACTCTTTCTAAAATACAACCAGATTATGTTACCCCCTGCTCTCAACTCTGTTGAAGGTTCATTTTTCCAACTACGTATGAACATTCTCCAGGATGAATTAAATGCTAGGTCATAAAACATGTCTCAAAAAACTTCAAAGGACTGAAATCATAAAAGGTACTATCTGACTACAATGAAATTGAATTAGATTGTTGAAATTCCTTTCAACAACAGAATTTTGAAATACCTTCGAATACTAGGAAAGTAAGCAACATTACTTATAAAGAACCCATGTGTCAAAAGAAAAAAATCACTAGGTAAGTTAGAAAATATCTTAAATTGAATAATATTGAAATATAAAATTTGTGGAATGCAGGTAAATCAGTACTTACGAGAAAAATTTGCTGCTTTAAATGCCTATGTTTAAAAAGAAGACAGGTTTCAAATCAATTAACTTGAGCTTCCACCTTAAGGAAGTGAAAAAAGACACAAACTAAACCCAAAGCAAGCAGAGGAAAGGAAATAATAAAGATTAAAGTGCAATTCAAAAACAAACAAACAAAAAAAAATCAATGAAACCAGAAGTTGGTTCTTTGAAAAGATTAACAAAATTGATAAAACTTTTGAGGCTAGACTGACCAAGGGGGGGGGGGAGGGATCAGAAGACACAAATGACTAAGATAAAAATTGAAAGAGGGACCACCAATACTGACCAACAGAAATTAAATGGATTTTAAGAGAATATGAACAAACTGATACCAACAAATTAGACAATTTAGAGGAAATGTACAAACCCTAGAAAGACACAAATTACCAAAACTGACTAAAAAAGAAACAGACTATCTAGATTTAAAAGAAGAAACTGAATCAGTATTAAAAATTGTCACATGCAACTATAAGAGAGCTGGAGTTGCTACACGAACATCAGATAAAGTTTTTAAGAAAAAAGTCACTAAAAAGGGACATTTTCTCTCAATCAATCCATCAGGAAAATATATTATAAACACACAGAAAGTGAAAACACAAAGCCACAGGCTGGGAGAAACCCTCTGCAAGCCATTTATCTGATAAAGGACTTGCATCCACAACATATAAAGAACTCTCAAAAGTCAACAATAAGAAAACCTAATTTTAAAATGGATGAGAAATCTGAACACTTCACCAAAGACGACACACAGACAGTAAACAAGCACATGAAAATATGCTCAACATCATTAAGAAAATGCAAATCAAAACCACAATGAGATATCAGAGTAGTAGAATAACTATATTCAAAAAAATAACAAGAGAAATTGGAACCCACATACATTGCTGGTAGGAATATTAAATGAAACAGCTGCTTTGAAAAACAGTGCCTGTTTCTCAAAATCTTAAAGAGTTATGAGCCAGCAATTCCATTCCTAGGTTATCTATCCATAGGATAGGAAAATATATCCACACAAAAACTTGTACAGGAATGTTCACAGCTGCCAAAATATGGAAACAACTTAAGTATCTATCAACAGATGCATGGATAAACAAGAGAGTGTTATTTGCCAATAAAAAGGAATGAAATACTGATACATGTTACAACACAGATGAACTTTTAAAAAATCATGCTAAGTGAAAGAAGCCACTCACAAAAGACATGTATGATTCCACTTTTATGAAATTTCCAGAACAGGAAAATCTATAGACATAAAAGTTAAAGATTAGTGGTTACCTAGGGCAGGGGAGAGAGGGAAGGGGAATGACTGTTTATGGGTACAAGGTTTCTTTTGGGATAATGTTCTAAAATTGGATTATGGTGATGGTTGTACAATTTAGTAATTATATTAAAACCACTGAACTGTATACTTTATATGGAAGAACCTGATGGTATGGTATGTTATACCACAAACCTGTTTTAAAAAAAAACAAAACCCTATCAGTACTTTAAAAGGGAGGTAAGGTAAAAGCCATGAAACAAGGTAAAGAAACAAAACCAAACAGAGTATGTGCAAATCAAGAGAACCTGTATCTGAAATATTTAAGGAACTTTTATAATTCTGTATAAGACAAAAAAACCCATTTTAAAATGGACAAAAATTTGAACAGACATTTCACCAAAGAAGAAAAATCATGTACATGTGCTAATCATGTGCTAATGAGTACATGAAAAGATGCTCAATATCTTTTCAACATTCTAATTCCAGTTATCAGGGAAATGCAATCAAAGCCATAAGATATCATTTCACACCCTAGTACTAGAATGCCTATAATAAAAAGACAATAACGTGTTTTAAAAAGCTCCTACCTGCTACTGAACTATATACTTACAAATAACTAAAATGGTAAATTTTATGTTATGCATATTTGACTACAAAAAAGTGTTTACCAGTACTTAAAAAAAAGCAGTAAAGCAGGAAACAAACAAACAAACAAAAAACCATCTCCCCAGCCCTGGCTGGTGTGACTCAGTGGATTGAGCACCGGCCTGCAGACCAAAATGTTGCTGGTTTGATTCCCAGTCAGGGCACATGCCTGGGTTACAGGCCAGGTCCCCCTTTGGGGGCGTGAGAGGGGGAATTGATGGATGTTTCTCTCACACACAAATGTTTCGTTCCCTCTCTTTCTCCCTCCTCTCTAAAGATAAAATAGTATTTAAAAAAAAATCTTCACAGACTTTAGATGGCTTCACTGGTGAGTTCTTTCATATATGCGTATTTAAAGACAAAATACCACAACTTTATATAATCTCTTTCAGAAAACAGAAGAAGAGGAAACACAAATTTATTCAATAAGGGCAATTGAAATGTATAATTAAAGGCATCAAGATTTCCTTTTTTGCAGAAAACACATTACTGAACTATAAAAGACATAAGGGACTGGACATGGGTCCTAACAACTGGGTTCCAACCCAGACTTTGTTACCAATGAGTCATGGAATCTTTATCAAGGTACCACATCTTGCTGAGCTTCAGTTTCCTCATTTGTAAAATAAGGAAGTTCATCAGAGAAATCTTTTCCATTGTATAATAATTGTGTGGTACCCTTAGAGCATAAAATTTTACTTAAAACCTGTATGATCCTAAATTGATATAACCTACCTGTAAAACAATATGACAACCTTTAGTAAGAGCCAGTTTATACTCTCTACTCTTTCAAGTTTTGGATATTTAACTTACATAATTCAACCAAAAGCAAAAGAATACATAAAAAGATCGTCACCTTAACAGCCCACAAGTCCAACAAGAGTGGATTAAGATTAACACAAAGAAATATCAAATTACTAAAAATTAGTATATAGATGATTGTGGAAAATGTTTTTGTTAGGTGAAAATAATCAGAATATAAATGATTTAAAATGTAAACCGCATCTAAGTAAGTATATGCCAAACCTAAACTCTTGTTTACATCAATTAGCCTACAATAAAATGGGCTTCATTATACTTCATTAAGTCATTTCCCTTAAAGTCACAGAACCTATTGATGACATTAAATGAGGACTTACTGTAGTATTAAGGTTGTGAGTGTAAGATTTTTTCAAACTGCCAAGCCTTGCCCTGATCAGGAGGCTCAGGCGGCTGGAGCGCCACCCCACACAAGGAAAGGCTGCAGGCTCCAGGCTCCGTTCCCCGTCAGGGCGCACACCTGGGCGGCAAGCTCGATGCATACGGGAGGCACCCGATCAATGTTTCTTCTTTCTCTCACTCTTTTTCTCTCCCCTACTCTTTCCTTCTCTCCCTTCTTCCCTCCCGCAAATCAGTAAACATCCTCAGGTAAGGACTGAAAGAATAAATGAAATTACCAAGTCTTCTGAAATGTTGACATAGTATATAGGTAAAGAGAAAAAACCTAGAAGCTTGTCCAAAAGGTAGCAATACAAAATATCAAGAGTATGTGATAAGGTTCTAAGTTGCTTGGGTTGATTATTGCTTCCTAAGAGTCATTATGAATTTATGGCTATCAACAGAAGTTTCAATGATTAAAACTTTTATCAGTTGATAGTGGAGTTACCAACAGTATTGTACATGTTCTAATCAGTGTTGATATAAAGCTTGTGATTCTGCTAAGTACTGATTAAGATCCAGATATAATACTGCATAGTTCAAAATCCTTATGACCATTTCCATGTATCACCATAACTCCTCTTCAATTTTCAATTTAAAATTTCTCACATGGCCTTAATTTTTAAGTGTATCAGCCACAAAACTACTTGAATTATACAACCACTAAAGTTTAAGAAAGGATAGTGAGAAGAAGGAGTAAGGGCCTCACTCCCTATTCCTGTGGCTGCCTGCTATGACCAGGATTTCAAGAGGATCCAGTCTCAGCATTCCCATGGTCAGCAGAGAAAAAATACTTGGTAAATGCTAATGACCATAACTCTAATAACAGTAAGTTGAACCATAAACTATTTCTGTAAGTAAAAAAAAAAAACTGACCATAAGCAATTTCATATGGCCCCACCTACGTCGATGCCTCCACGTTATGAAACACGTTGTGCTCCCTTTGAGACCGCAGAGTGGCTGTCAAGGAGTCTCTCCTTAACCTTCCCAGTGAGTGTGCTTGTGTGAGTCATGATTTTAAGAGCCAGAATTTAAGCAATTCGTGTTCGTATGTTTACATTAAAATGCCAAAGTCACACTGGCTGGTGTGGTTCAGTGGACTGAATGCTGGCCTGTGAATCAAGATTGCCAGTTCGATTCCCAGTCAGGGCATGTGCCTGGGTTGCAGGCCAGGTCCCCAGTGGGGGGCATGAGAAATACCAATTGATGGATTGCTCACACACTGATGTTTCTCTCCCTATTTTCTCCCTCCCTTTCCCTCTCTAAAAATAAATAAAATCTTTTAAAAACAACTGCCAGAGTCACATAACCAAAACCAAGAAGTGTTCTAACAGCAGCCAAATTAAAGAATAAATATCAGAATTATCCCATTCTAATTCAATTCCTGTCAAACTCATGTTTCCCTTCACAAAGCAGTACATTTTGGTACTAACATTTTCGCGAACACCTCCAACTGAAATTAATCCCACTCTGAGAGCATCTTACCTGAAACTACCATAGACTATCAGCAAAATGGAAATCAGAAATGTAGACACTTGACTGGAATCCACCAGGGAATAGGCCCTAGAGAAATAAGAGGAAAAAAATCACATCAGCAAGTCCTCATGGAATTTACAGTCTCATGAAGATCCAAACCCCACTAAGTTTTTATTTCATCTGTAATATGAAAAAAGGTATAAATTAGTATTAACAAAACAATTAAAATGAGATATATTGGTTTTCACAGCTATTATTAGTTAACATTCACAGGATGCTGAATATTAATTTAAAAATTCCATTTCTGTATGACATACAATATATGCTTATGACATCATACCTAATATCTACCAATTCTGTACCAATGATAAAAAGTCTTGAGTGATCAAACTTTTATCAGTTTACACTTCAATTACCAATAGTCTTTTACTGGTTTTACTCGTGACAAGGTAAAACCTCTCTCTCCCCCCTGAATTCCATTTCCATTCTTATAACTGCCTAATGGTTCTTTCTATCCTGGGGTCCCACAAGAAGTTCTTCACGGTCAACAGGTCTATAACTAAAGTCATTGTTCTTCCTTTCATACCTGATCTTCTCAAGGAATGGTATCATGATTCCCTCAGCTGTCAAAGCTAGAGACCTCCTGCATCCTTGACATCCCTTCTCTTCCCACCTTTAACAGCGAGTCCTGCAACTTTCACACCCTCAACTCCCTTAATTCTCTCAATCCTACTGCCAATTCCTTAGCTCCCTTCCATGGCCTGACTATCAGAAATCACTACCCATTATTGTTTGTTAGGGATTTTCCTAAATAAATTTTTGTTCTTTTCATTTCAGCATATATTTAATGATGCCTCTGTGCCAGACACATGCTCTGCTAGCCACTGGGGACATAAAAATAAGATTGTCTTGGTCCCTGCCTAATGTCTTTTCAAAACAAGTAATAAGATTTCATTCTAAGGAATTAAAAAAAAAAAAGTTAACATAAGTAAGTGAATATGAGCGTGAAAAGTGTTTTAAAGGGGAGAAAGACAATTACAGGATACTGTAAGAAAGTGTATTAGGTAGCTCCTAACCAAGACCTGGGGGTGTTTTCCTTAGGGAGGTAGATGAAGGAGAGACACGGTAAGTTAAGTAAGACGTGGTAATTGTTTATGGGAGGTAGGAGAGGTCCCCCCCGGGTTTCCGCTGAGCAGCAGGTGGATGGTTGGAGGTTAGAAATTAGGTTTCAGAGGTGTTGAGACAGTTGGATATCTGGGTCTAGAGACCGGAAGCAGCTCTAAGCTATGAGATATGTGAGGGGGGCCCCCAAAAACCCTCCAGAATTCTGTTCTAGAGAGCAGGCCCCTTGTAGTACCAGCTTCCCAGCTAGGTGAGTGTTCCAGGAACCCATCTGTATCAGTGTGCCAGCTGGTGTTGTCAGAGGCTGTGCTAAGCTTCAGTGAATTTTTTTTGAAGACTCTCCGCGTTTGTTCATGATGGGGGATTTACAAGTGCACCTGCCCACACTGCCCGGAGTGTTCAGCAGTTCTTGACCAAAAACGGCATGACCCCATGCCCCACCCTCCCTATTCACCCAATCTCACCCCGAGGGACTTTTTTTCTTTGCTGTTTCCCCAGATGGAAAAAATCCTCAAAGGGAAACATTTTGCCCATGTGGAAGAGGTGAAACAAAAAACTGGCCGGAAAACTAAAAGGCATCAAAATCCATTAAGTTCAAAAATTGTTTTGAGCAGTGGGGAAAATGTCATGATAGGTGTATTGCACCATTAGGGAGTACTCTGAAAATGACTGAAGTTTATACATGTAAGAATAAACACACAATTTTTTATAAATAAATTTCGGCTTGTTTTTTGGGGAGTTTTCCCTACCCTCATATATTGGGAGCTCAACGCCTTCTGTGTGGTAACTGAAGCCGTAAGTGTGGGTAAGACTGCCTAGCAGCGGGGAAAAGAGAACCCAGGATAAAACCTAAGAAACCTCCAAACTTAAAGGTCAGGTAGAAGGAGCTGCAAAGAAAACCAAACTGAAACAAAGAAGGAGGAAGAAAACCAGGATAGAAGGCTGAGTGATGAGAGTGTTTCAAAGAGGCAGCAGGACTGGATAATGTCTGGATTTAAACCCTTGATCTACTCCTTACTAGGAGATGGACCTAGTTGCCTAACCTCTCTAAGCTCCTGCATCATCTGTACAATGGGGATAATGACAACTTCTATTTCAAGGAGCTGTTAAAGAATTAAACGAGATCATATAAAGAGCTGAACACTGTACATACTCAACATTCATTGTTTGTATTATAAAAGAGAAGTCACTTGTGTTTAAGACTGCTGAGAGGTCAAGTATAATGAAAACTACAGTGTCTACTGACTTTACTTAATGTGTAAGTCACTGGTAACCTTAGCAAAAACAGACTTAGTGATAGGGCTGGGAGTCAGACTGGCATTGGCTAAGAAGTTCAAGTTAAGGAAATGGAGATAGACAGGTGTTTGAATAGTACAGGGAAGAGAATGGCCGCTGGAGGGAAATGTAAGGATAAGGGAGGTTTTAGGGTTTTTTAAACGCAGGAGATACTCAACCTCCTTTTTTTGTATGACTGGAAATGATCCCAAGGAAGAGGGAAAGAATAATGAATATAGAGGAGGAGACATTTCCTTCAATTTGTCTAAAAAACAGGATACATAATAAATGTCATGATAAGGTGTCGAGGTGGATCATGTCATTTTTTTGATCTTTAGTTATTAGAGATATATAACTGAAGTGATACGACTTAAGGTTTGCTTTAAAATATTCCGGGAGGGAGGGCAAGAGAGGGTGAGAGTATCGGATAGATGCAATAAAAAAGGGTAAAATTGTTTTTAAGTATTGAAGCTAGAAATATAGGTGCATGGAAGTTCATTATATTCTTTCTTTTTTAAAAAACTTGCATAATAAAAAGGTTAAAAAAGCAAAAAGCAAAACCTTTTTTCATGGCAGTTTTTCAGATGGTGAAATAATTAAAAGCATGAGCGGAAAGAGACTTTGGGTGGTGAACACACAATGCAATATACAGATGATGTATTATAGAGCTGTACACATGAAACCTGTGTGATTTTATTAACCAATGTCACCTCAATAAGTTCAATTAAATTTTTTAAAAAAATAAATAAAAGCATAAGCAGTAGGTGAATAAAGGAATGTGTGTAGATGATGTAGAAGACAGGGCTTATCCACCAAGAGATACCTGAGACAGTACATTTCATGTCCTAGGAAAATTGATCCAATTTATATTTTTCTTGCTGACATATTCTTTGCAAGTGTCTTTCTAAAATCTGAAAACAAATGACCTCTGTTTAGAAGAAACACTTTCTTAAATTAAAAAAAACAAAAACAAAAACAAAAAAACAAAAAAACAAATTTGGGCCCTGGCTGGGTGGCTCAGTTGGTTAGCATTGTCCATATACCAAAAGGTTGCAGGTTTGATCCCTGGTCAGAGCGTGTATGGGGAGGCAGCTGATGGATGTTTTCTCTCTCACCCTCCACCCCGCTCCCCCGTTTCCTCTCTCTTTAAAATTAGTGAAAATATATCCTCAGAGGAGGATTAAAAAAATTTTTTCTGGAGTAGGTGATATATTCCACATGGTACAAAAATTAAAAATATATAAAAAGGTACACACTGAGAAGTCTCAACACCTCATCCTCTTTAACCAACTACCACTTTTACTAGTTTCTTTACAGTCTTCTGGAGTAAATATATAAGTATATAATTTCTCACCATTCTTATTACAAAGGTAGAGTATTAAACACACAGCTCTGTACTCCCCCAACCCTGACATTTACAATGTAGCCTAGACAACTTCCTGTAACAATATGTGGAAAAACTTTTTTTATTCAAACATTTGCATAATATTCCATTGTGTGGGTACGCCATGGTTTATTTAAAAAACAAATCTCTTTTAGATGGGCACTGTGACTGTTTCTAGAAATTCCATAACAAGCAATTCTATAAAAAAACCCAAAAACAACCCCTCTAAATTTACCTGCATTGCCCACATACAATTACATATCTTTGTAGAATTAAGTCCCTTAAAATTGAGATTGCGGGACCGAAGAGACAACGCACTGGCAATCTGAAAGGGGCTGCCCAGCCGCCCTCCGCAGAGGCCGAATCGCTCCACACTCTCACCAGAAATGGGTCGGACTTCTAGTTTTCCGAAGTCTCGTCAACAGCGAGCACTGTCCAACTTTTGAATTTTTAACAATGTGACAGGTGAAAATTGGTATCTCAATATGATTTTCATTTACATTAATTTTCTGATATAATTTAAAAAATAAAATTAATTAAAGATGGAACAGCTTTTCATATGGTTAAGGGCTAGTAGGCATTTTGAAAAGCAATTAAAATTTTTTCCAGGCTACAGAGCTATAAAAAACATAAGCAGCTTGCCCCCTGCAACCCCCCCCCCCCAGGAACTCCAGCTGGTGTACCCTTTCTATTCTAATGTATAGTGTCACTACCTCCCCAAATTCGGTGTCTTAAGGTCTAATACTAGTGTTTATGCTTCAAATCAGTGGAGACCATGTAGACTCATGGCTTAGGACTTCTAAACGTCTGGGCTGAATTTTTGTGAAACCAGTTCCTCCTCTTTAATAGATCCTCTGTACACGTGACAGTCTCTGTGGCTGACCATCCTGTAGTCATGAACTTTCTTCAGTTTGTTTTTCAAGGTGAAGGCTTGACTGCGCGCAAAATGCCTTATGAAGAGGTTGATTAGGGCTACCAGGACTCTCATCTCCATATCCTGGCAGTAAGCATGATACCCGCTGCAGAACTAGAGGCATCATTTCAGAAAAACAATGCTCTGATGTTTTAATAGTTTCTTTTAGACTAAACAGGTGTTTTTGGTTTTATTTTTCAAGTAAATCTATACAACAAAGTAAGTTTAAAACTGACTCCTAATGCAAACTGTATGAATTATTACATAATTAGAAGTTAGAACTTATTTCATGGTATTACTTGGATTTTCATATATTTTCAATTCTAACTACCATTATAGAATTTCTACAAAAAACCTTGTAACAAAAAAAATATTTCTTAGAAAATACAGAAC